AAGACCCAGGAACTGGAACTGAGTGGTTAGAAATCCATCGCAGGTCCAGACGGAGGGCTTATCTCAGCTGCTGGCCACAGAATGTTTACAGATGATCCTAAGCTAGTGACCCCAGCCACAGTGAGAGGGCTGGTCATCTCCACTCTCCAAAGGCCTCCGCCCACACCCTCTCCGCCCAGCCCTAGGCTGTGCTTCCACCCTGGCTGGGACCCCAAGAGCAGAAGCAGCAGCTCAGAGACTTGGCAGCTGGGTTCCTGGGAAATTGGACCCCTGCCCACAGCGCTGAAGAGTCTCCTGACACAGAGGACAGACCCTCACATCCCTGATCTGGTGAGACGGGCACTGAAGGGAGGAGGCAGTGTGGGGGATATAGGGTAAACCTCTTTGCCTCAATTCCCCCAAAGGGACCCTTAGCTGATTTGGGATTTATTTATTTTCTCAGTATCTTCTGGCAGAAACCTGTGGGAGCTTCCTTCTCCCAACTGCTCTGTCCCTTCCCTTGTCTAAAATCCAGCAGAGAATGTGCCACACTACACCCTGCTCTTGGCAGGGAGAGGCACACAGACACCCCCGCTTCTAGTACTCCCACAACTTGGTCTTTTCCAAAGGCATGATTGGACAGCTGGCACGAAAACAGTCCTCAGTGAGGTGAACACGGAAGGCAATTTATTTTGCACGAATTAGGGCAAAAGCAAAGCGGAACTTAGCTAAATTCACTATGGACAATATAATCCTGGGCCTGGGTCTGAGTACCCTAGGAAGCAGGGTGAGCAGGGAAATTAGATCTGCTACTGGAAAAGAATGAGCACCCCAGCCTGACAGCCTCTTCTCGCAATTTTGTGTAATAGGTGTCACGAGTGCGAGATGAGTCTTACCAAGGACAGAGTCATCTCCTCTGTATTTAGTCGGCTTCAGAGGCAGATTAAATCAGGCGATTTGGCTCACAAGAGGAAGCTGAGGGGATAATGTTAGAGTGCAGCCTGGAGAGGGATGTGTTGTCCCGATGGTTGCTTCTGATCCAGGACCGGTTTGTTTCCGGTAGGACCTGAAGCTCAGTGTTTCTCTAACTTTGATGTGCAAACAATGTTATTCTAGCTCAGAGAGTCTGGGCTGGGCCTGAGACTGTATTTCAGACCAAAGTGTCTAGGTCATCATGTGTAGCACATCTGTTTGGAATAAGGGTTGGAAGCCTGGACTTCTTCAGGAACTTTTGTTTTTTGGGGGTGATATCGGATGGTCCTCAGTGGCTATTCTGTTCTGTGGATGGGCGGGATCACTCCCAGCAGTGTTCTGGGGACCATGTGCTCAGGGAACCAGATTGGTTGGGGGAGCTTCTGGGGCCAGGGACCGAACCTGTGACTGCCGCCTGCCTTGCACGTGTTTCAAGATTTTGAGTCACTTCCCCTGCCCCAAAGGCCAGATGTCTCTGCCTCTTCAGCCTCCGCCCTTCTCTGTCCCCTACCCCAAGCCAAGGTAATGCCACAGGGGACGGACAGGAAGGAGCTGCTGCCAGACCACAAAATGCTCCCAGAGCTCCCCTTGCCCTCTGAACCCATGTCCACAGCCACCAAGAGGCTAGTACCAGTGCAAGTGCTGGTTTTCACACTGAGATTGGTGAGGAACTCTCTGCCACGGAGCTCCTGAGAAAACCGCTTGCTCCCACCTCCTCCTCACCAATCACAGTCCTACTTCTCGTTTCAGAGGAGCACCCCTGGTGGTGCTGGGAGGCGGGGCCCACTCCCTGGCATTCTCATCTGGTAGCATGGGCCAGGGCTGCTGGGGCTGCGGGCACTCGGGACCTGGCACACATTAGGCTTGTGCCCAAACACTCACGCTACCTCCCAGGCCCCACTCACAGTCTCTTATGACTCCGTCGTATCCCATCTAGCACCCGCTTAAAACCTTCTCCACATATTTGCACTGCTGACTATGTAGTTCAGCCTCCTGAAGGTATGCAGAGAGCTTTTTTTTTTCCTGGGGAGAGCAGGTCGTGGAGAGGCCTGAGAGGAGCTTTGTGTGCATCTGCAGTGTCCAGCTCTGAGTATGCTTTCTCAGCTGTGCCGTGTGAGCACACATCTCTAAGCTTCTATATCGCTGGGCAGGCTAGCAGCTGCCTGTGCGTTATTCTTGCACCATTGCCCCCAGCCCTGGCGTGACTTTCTCTACCCAGGTAGCCCACTGCTCACCCGGAGCCCTCCATTGGCCTCTCTGAATCCCCTCCTCAATCCCTTCACAACTGGACGACAGCTCCCAGCATCCAGAGCCTTGAAGGGCTCCTGCCTGGGGTGATGACAGGGGAACGTCGCAGCCTGGTTCCCTGCCAGGAGTGCCGAGCTGGGGGCCCGGCTTCTCACCGCCATCTCAGCTTAATAGTCCATTTAGAGTCTTTTATTTTGTGCAGTGGATGAGATCCACCCCTGTCTCTAAATGCCAGGTCCCCGCAATGGGTGGCTCTATCCCATCTCTAAATGCCGAGTCCCTGCAGTGGACGGGCTCCAACCCCTCTCTAAACGCCGGGGCCCTCCGAGGAGCAGAGAGCCGGTCTCTCCACTCTGCAGGAGAATGTCTTCCTTGAGCCTCTTAGCTGAAGGGCTAGTCTTGGCTTCAGGGTCGGGCACAGAGCAGAGCCTTTGACCTGTGTTCTGGGCACCATGCTGCCAGGGAGGAGACCGAAGTGGACAGAACTTCCCACAGATACTAAAGGAGGTGAAGAGGGGAGAGAGGCCCTTGTTCACCAGCTGAGACAGCACGCTCAGAGCTGGAAACCAACTGTAGGTGGCCACAAAGCTGCTCTCCTCCCAGGCCTCTCCCGTGACCTGCTCTCCCCAGGAGGAAGAAAAAACAAAAGCTCTCTCCATACCTGCAGGAGGTTGAACTGTATAGTCAACTGCAAAAATGTGGAGAAGGCTCTAAGCAGGTGCTAGATGGGATACAATGGGGTCAATGAAAGACTGTGAGTGGGGCCTGGGAGGTGGGGTGAGTGTTTGGGCACAAGCCTGATGTGTGCCAGGTCCGGAGTATGCGGGGGCGGGGGGGGGAGGGCTGTGAAGGGTGGTTGGGAGGGGGTGATGACATCCAATCAATAATTACTTACAGAGCAGCCAGTTTGTGCCAGGCACTGACTGCTCTGGGTCCTGGAAACAGAACTGACTGAGACGCATTTAACCCCACTCAGGGAGCTCACATTTCTGTGGGAGCAGACAACAGCAAACGGATCAACAAAACATGTTATTATAGGGTATTAGAGGGATGGTACCTCAGCAAGAGCTCGAAAGAGGGAGGGGCATCGTGTGAATCTCCTGGGACCCAGGAAGGAAGCAACAAGGGTCAGAGTTGTGGATCCTGTGAATTCACAGAGCCAGTGGGAAAAGGCCCCACGCAGGAGCAGATCAGGGAATATGCAGAGGTGTCGGGGTACCAGAGTGCTGAGCATATTGGCCTTAGAGACAACAGCCAGGGGTTTGCTTTGACTCTGCGGGACAGAGGAGCCAGCGATTGAGCTGAGGAGTGACCAGTCCTCAGTCCCAAAGGATAACTCTGGCAGCTCTGCCCTTGGCTGACCTTGGACACAGTCAGGCATGGAATTGTTCTGCCAGTCCATGGAGTCGGAGCCCTCCAGGGTCAGGAGTCGGGTGGGTGGCCAATTTGCTTCTGAGAGGTACTGGGTTGCACCCAATAACCGTCACCCACCCTGGTCTTAAGTAATACCCGTGTGATTTTCTTAAAGCCACACACAATGGTCAACACCCTCATATTTGGTTGTTTTTGTTTCTGTCTTTTTTTTTCTTTTTGTTTTTGGGCCACACCCTGCAGTGCTCAGGGTTTACTCCAGGCTCTATGCTCAGGGATCACTCCGGGTTACACTCAGGGACATGTAGCAGAGCCCTCAGAGGACAGCCTGAATGAAAGGTGGGACCAGAGTGCACCGGAGCTTAAAAAGAGTGCATCTGCAGGGTCAGTGGGACCAGGGAAACTTGCAGAACACAAGAGAGGACCTGGTGGCTCATAGGACAGAGAGGGAAGGGCATATCCCCAGTAGGGAACCTATCGAGGTACTAATAGGGTGGGAGGGAGAGAGGTCAGATTCTGCCTCTTCACCCCCGGATTCTGCTTCTTCACCCCTAGGGAGCTCTTTGGGGTCCGGTTGCGGGCCTAGTGCTGGGACCCAGCCCTGCCACTGGCTGCACCCTTCAGATAACCCTGCTGGAGGGCTTATCGCCCTGGCTCCAGATGGCTTCCTGGAACAATGTGACGTTCCTGGGCACCATAGAATGTGCCGCCTAAGAGTATCCTAGTAAGAATCCTGGAGGCGGGTAACCCTTAGGGTTCCAGAGGAGACAAGCGCCATAGCCATGAGCCCTTACTTCTAAAGATGGGGGGATGACCATGGTGAGATGGGGTCACAGGGGAGAAGGGGTTTTAAAAAGACACCGTGATCTTCAGGCTGGGAGAGGATACTGGGGAGCGGGGAGGTGGGAGACATTTTCCTTAGGGGCAGGTGAGGGTTTAGAGCCTGGGAAGTCTACTCAGGGAAGTGCTCCCCGATACCCTCAGGATGCCCCAAGCTTCTATGGAAACTTCTGGGAAAGAGCAAAGGTCTGTGTTTTGGAGCTTGCAAGCCAGAGCACTAGGACGCACCCTGGTTGAAGAGGAAGACTCTGCTCAGAAGGAAAATGGGGTTCCGCGTCAGAACCGGGCGATGACCGCTGGGTAGGGAGTGGACCACAGAGTCAAGAGTAGCCCATGAACTCCAGAGGGGGTTAGCGTGTTCCTTGGGGCTGCGGGGTGGAATCAGAGCGGCCCGGCTCTCCTGGCCTGCCTGCCTGCCTGCCTGCCTGCCTCGCGGGGGTTAAAAGGCGTTCCCGGAGCCGTTGCACATTTGGGGTCAGGGGTACGGGGGCAGAGCCAAGGATCGGGAGCTGCCGAGGAGTTCCCCGGCCCAGGGTCAAGGGTCTCTCTCTGACGGCCACCAGCCCTTCTGGGTCAGGCAAGGACGAACGACCCCGCAGGTGGGCGACTGCGCGGCTGCAGGAGGTGGCCGAGCCGGACAAGCGGCGCGGGCGGGCGCGCGGCCACCTCCCCCCGGCACGCAGGTCTGTCCCCACGGCCGGGCGGGGCGCGGGCAGGGGCGGAGCCTCGAGGCGGAGCCGCCGCCTCGGCCGCGGACCTTCAGCCGCTGCCACCGCTCCGAGCCGCGGGCCGGAGAGGTGAGTGACCCCCGTCTCGCGGGACGCGGTCAGGGGGCGGGGGTGGCGGGGGCTGCCTGCGCCCTGGCCCCGGGACCCCGGCCCCCGCGGCCCCCGGCACCCCTGTCGCGCCGAGGCCGGGCACCCCCGCACGTCTGCAGGGGAGCCGCTGGGGCGGCTGGCACCGACACGTGCGCGGTGGCACTGCGCCCCCGGCCCGAGCGCGCGCGCCTCCCCGGGGACGCCAGCCGCGCGCGCCGGGTGCGGGCCGGGCCGGGCGCGCTGGGCACCCCGGGCGGGACGCGGAGCGGGGGTGGGGGCGGGGGGCGGGGGGCGAGGCGAGCGGAGGGCCGGCTTGGAACGCCTCTCTGGGCGGAGCCTCTAGGCTGAGTCCTCGGGTCCCAAGTGTCCAGCGGCTCTGTGGTCCAGTGGGCGGGACCTTCGCGCGCTCCGAGCGAGCGGCCGGGGCGGGGGCGCCCGACCTGGGCCCGGAGGGGCTGGACCGCCCCAACCCGCCTTTGCCAGCGTCTGGGGAAGTGTCTGGGAAATTACCCCTTCTACTCACTTCCCCGAAATTAGGGGGCAGGCTGCCCAGAGAGGTGTGGTTGGAACTTTGGTCATTTTGGGTACATAAAAGGTGGGTACGCAAGAGCGAGTGTGCGTTTTCGGGGTCAGGAGGCCGGCTAGGGGTGAAGGGAAATGCAGGCAGGTCCTGCTGGCTGCGTGGCAGAAGGCACTGAGATTTTCCCGAGGACCAGGGCCATGTCGGGGACCAACAGCAGAGAGGGGGAAATACCCCCGGGGAAGTCCTTCTGTCCTCCGGAGCGCAGCGATATCAGTAAGTACAGGCACCGCTCTGGCACTTACCGCCTGGCTTTGCTTACAGTAGCCCCGCTAACCCCTGGGAGGGAAAGGACCGCTGGTTAAAGTTGGGGAAACTGAGTCTCAGGAAGCGCGCTATTTTTGCAGAGCCACAAAGGCTGCAAATTGACTCGGGTGGGAGGGGGGCAAGGAGGAGCCAGCTAATGAAGGCGACAAGGCACATTCTTGGTGGATTTGGGCAGACCAGGGAAGACAGTGCTGCTAGGGAGGGTGTCAAGACCTGGGTGTGCCCCGCCAGTCACCTGTGTGGTTGGATAAAAACCTAGGTGCCAGGGCCCAATCTGCTAACTGCACCCGTGTCTGCAGGGTGAGCCTCGAATTCAGCAGGCATACCTGACTCCATTACTCACCTCTGTGCCCCTGTCTGTCCCCGGTGACCTGTGAGTGGAGTGTTTGTTCAGTGGGTTCACCGGGCGTTCCTGGGGAGGATGGGGTTTAGGGTTCCAGAAGGAGGCTTTGGGGGATGGGCAGGAAGCTTCAGCCAGGCATCCTGGGAGGAAGACCTGGAGTTGGCTTGGGGTGATGCTAGCCATCACTGGCAGTGGAGGCTCAGCACCCAGCTGCCCATCCTGCTGGTCCCTCCAGGACCCCGTCTCTTCCCTCTGGGACCCTGGAGGTGCTCTCTCCAAATCAGAGATGCTCCACTCTCCTGCGTGGTTCCCGTCTTTGCCCTCCTCACCCCGTGGCCCTTCCCTCCTTGGATTTATCAGACACAAGAGTATTTATTGGGTCGGGCTTCTGGGAGTTAAAAAGAGAAAGTTAATGACTAAAGTCCAGAGTTGCATGCCTGAGGGCAAGGCAAGCTCTCCCTGGCTGACTGCAGGGGAAGCGCCTGGCTCTGGAGTCCTGTGCCCCGGTTTGAATCTCAGTTCTTCACCATGTGACCTGGCCACATCCTTAGCCATCTGTACTTGTTTCTTTCTCCACAAAACCTTGGTAAGGGCTTGGCACACAGGCCGGATGATGCTTGGCAATTAGAAGCATATGCTTTGCATGCACAGGGGCCCAAGTTGAAACCCCAGCACCTTATAGCCCTTGGAACACCATTAGGTGTAGTCCTGGGTGCCTTTGAGCACTGCCAGGTGTGACCCCGAGGGTCCCCAGCTCTGTAGGACCTGAGCGGCACAACATCTGCAGATCCTCGCTCTGAATCCGTAGCTGGAAGCCTGCCTCTTGAGCCAAGGGGAGAAGGCAGCTGGAATAGAGAAGGGATCACTCAGAAAAAGATGGCTGGAAGAATCGGCCAGGATGGGAGAAAGTCGAAAAAGGACCAAACATGATAACCTCTCAGGATCTGTATCGCAAACCATAATGCCCGAAAGTAGAGAGAGATTATGGCAAATCATGTCTGCCATGGAGGCAGGGGGAGGGTGGGAAAGGGGGGGACGGGTATACCGGGGATATTGGTGGTGGGGAATGTGCACTGGTGGAGGGATGGTGTTTGATCATTGTGTGATTGCAACCCAAACATGAAAGCTTGTAACTATCTCACGGTGATTCAATAAAGTTAAATAAAATAAAATTTTTAAAAAATGCCAGGAGTGATCTGCTAGGTCTCCCGAGCACTGGTTGAGAGATATCAAACCCCCACCCGCCCCCCCCCCCAAAAAAAAAAGAAAAATTGAGGCAATAATGCTTGACAGGGGAGGGATGAATTTGTTGTTTTGTTTTCTGGCCACACCCACTGTGCTCAGGGCTTGCTTACTCCTGTCCCTGTGGAATGGAACGGGGTCAGCCTTGCAAGACAAGCGCCCTACTTGCTATACTATCTCTCTGGCCCCGGGAGATGAATTTGCTAAGTGCTAAACTTTAAGGATAAAGTGAATTCCAAACTACCCCCTTTGTCCCAGGGTTTGGGGGTTAATCCAGGGAGGGCTTTCTGGGCTCCTGACGCCCGCACAATTCTCTCCCTCTACTAGAGAAGGAGACTAATGCCCAGAGAGTGGCTTCGTTTCCACTCTCTTCCACACCCTTCACTTATTTCTGAATCCAAGTGAGAAAAGTCTGGGTCTTTGAGGCCCAGGTTCTATGGCCACTGCAAGGCAGGAGGCAAGACCAGAGCCATTCCCAGGACCCCTCGGGGATCCTCTTCACTGTTACAGAGCCGGTCTCAGACCCAGGTGTCAGGCACCCACCCTGGGAAGAGCAGCTGACCTCTCTACTTGGTTTGGTGTCCAGCCTGCATGTGAAAACTTCAGCGCTGGGGTGATTTTCAGGCAGATTAGGGGTGGGGGGAAGAAGCAGGGCAGGCCAAACTGTGCAGATGCCCTGTCCACTCCCCTGCCCTGCCCACACTCGCCAAGTGTCCAGGCTCCCCGGACCGTGCAGCCTCTGCTGACTCAACCACTCGAAGGAATTGCTTTCTAGCATCTGGCCCTGGAATGAACTGTTGGACTTAAAACAAGGGTGTTTGTCCATTTAAGCAGGGAGTGACCCCTAAGGCCAAACTGGCTCCTTTCCTGGGCTCTGGGGACTCTGGAGGGTGTGTGTGTTTCTCCCCACTTCTCTCTTAGTCTCGCCAGCCCCATCCCTAATGCAGGAGGCCGTGGAAGTGGCAGAACTGAGTTGGGAGAGGGTGGGGACAGAGCATTCAAAGTGGTTTTCAAGAGGCGAGGCAAGGGGCCAGTGAGATAACACAGCTGGGGAGGGTGCTTGCCTTGGACTCGGCCATAATCTCATTATAGGTTCAATTCCTGTCATTCTACACAGTTCCCCTGAGCCCCACCTGGAGTGATTCTTGAGTGCAAAGACAGGACTAAACTCTGAGCACTACAGGATATGACTTCCCCAACCCCCAATCCCCATAGGCTCGGCTCTAATAACACCACATTCTCCCTCCTGCCTCAGCTGGGCCCTGTGACACCCCTCCCCACCATTTCCACCTCTTCCCATCGCCCTTCACACCCTCGGCATGCCCTGGCACCACCCCCTTCACATCTGCAGCTGCAGTCCTGTTGGCACCAAGCCTCCAGCTGCCTGTATGCAGAGTCAGGTGTGTTGGACGTGTGGGCACATCTGCTTGGGAGCTAGATAATGTTGTTAACTAACTGTGTCATTTTCTCCCCAAATACAAGATTCCAGGATTGTTTTCTTTCTTTCTTTCTTTCTTTCTTTCTTTCTTTCTTTCTTTCTTTCTTTTTCTGTGGGGAGTCACTCCCTAGCAGTGCTCAGCAGGCTTACTAATACGACTGCTGGTAACATCCACCCTGTTGTGCAAGCAGACATTTCCACACTGGAGCCAGTGTGGTGCTGCTCTGGCCATAGGTGTTGGGGTCTCCAGGGCTATTACCTGGAGTTGCTCAGGGGCCACCAGGGCTACTATCCCTGGAGGTGCCCAGGGAGGTGGCCAGTGCTGGTGATGAGACTTGGGAGTTCTGTGTGCCAAGCGTGGGCTCCATCCCCCTGTGCTCACCCCACCTCCAGACCATTCTCTCCACCCCCACACTGGAAACTCAGAACCACTGCCTACACAGGCCTGTCCTGATCCCCCCACATACCCCACACAGCTTTCCTGAATGCCTCTACTGCCATGGTGCCTAGCACTGTGGGTTGAGACCAACTGCGGGCCAGAAGAGGGTCTGTCCGGTGTCCAGTATTCCCCTACAAAAGTCCACTCCCTTCGCTTATTTCTGAGTCCAAGTGAGGAAAATAAGAGTCTTTGAGGAGCCGGAGCGATAACACAGCGGGTAGGGCGTTTGTCTTGCATGCAGCCAACCCGGGTTCGATCCCATATGGTCCCCTGAGCACCACCAGGAGTAGTTCCCAAGTGTATGAGCCAGGAGTAACCCCTGTGCATCACCAGGTGTGATCCAAAAAAAAAAAAAAAGAGTCTTTGAGGCCCAGGTCCTATAGCTAACGCAAGGCAGGAGGCAAGACCAGAGTCATGCCCAGGACACCCGAGCTGGAGGTCTTGACTTGGGAAAGCAGGACGGGGCCTCTGTCACTGCCATCCTGCCTAGGATTGAATATTCCTTTCCTCCGTGAGGGTGAGCCCTGTCGTTGGGTGATGAGATGCTCCTCAGTTCTTCCCAGTCAGCGTGTTCCCATGAGTCCCAAAGTCACCTGGCAGGTGAGCCCTTATGGATCTGCCATTAAGCAGCAGCGTTTCCCATGGTCCCACCCCTTCTGCAGATTTCAGC